TGACCGATTATTAACACGTTCATCTCAACACTGAAACTATCAAACACGCCCATGTAAAGATAATTATAACAATAATTTATGCCATCTATTAACGAAAGAGTACTATTTAGACAAAAGCTTATAATTCTTCTATTAGGTTAAAGGACGGCTTATAGGAGTCGTTATCGCAAGGTTATGATAATAGCTACATTTGATAGTGACCGACAACGAGACAGAGGAGGTCATGAGAACACTTAAAAATGTGTTTACAGTTTATGGCTTAAAAAGAAAAATAAAACTGAAGAAGAATAAAACTGTCAACAGGGCAAGATAAAGGTGTGATTGTTAAAATATTCTCACGTAGTATCTATTAATTATATAATAGTTAATTTGTAACAAGGTTGTACAGATCGGATGAAGGAACCAGGCGAGCGGTCGTGCAGGCACTTGCCCCTATATGGCCTATTTGGGTAGATCACTCTGAACCGATACAAAAATAAGCTTTCAGTCAGCGTAAACTATTGTATTAATACAGATAGGACAAGAAATAACGTATAAAAAAACATAAACCTAATGCTATTGTTTGTATTGTAGCTGATTTTCACATTCACGGTCCTCATCGGAATCACTATCACTGTCACCTACATCAACAATTAGTTCTTCTGTTTGTATGCCTATTACTTGCTCATTACCTAACATAACATTTAATTAAACCAAGTTAAACTAAATTATTGCGCCAATTCCTTTTTACATAAATTTTAAATATCTACAACAAGAAAACCAACCGAATAAGTTAATTTCTTTAATTTAATTTTGTAAACTGATCCCTGCCTTTAAATATTTAATCTACGCCCCTGAAAGGGATACTGAAAAAAGAGGGCTGTGATTGTTATCCCTAAAACTGCCTACTTTTGCCGCTGCGCGTCCACGCCATTTTAAAATTTCCGCCAGCTACGAGCGTCAGGACTGTACTTACATTTTTTCACATTTTTGCAAATCCCAATAAATAACTACCTACTTCATTTCTCTTGCAATCTTATATTGTTATTAAAACACTATAGAAGTCTACTTATCATATAGTACCTAATTAAGCCCGTCCAAATTGGAACAGATATGCAGCAAAAAACTGCAGTTAGATAATTAGTGGTAAAAAGGAAGAGAAAATGTATTTCACAAATTAGCTTAAAACTTCTTAATAAATAAAGTTACCAATTAAGTGCACTTTCGCCATGTGCTTCTTCTACTTTGAAATATTTCGAACAATTACATTAAATCAATAATACATATCTACTTTTTTAGATTGAATATTTCAATTTTTTACTAGCTTCTATATCATATAAATTGTATCGTATAATTTAAAAAATTGGTCGGTTTGATTTAATTTACAGTTTAAGAGCATTAATTTATTTTTCTAATGTATTTCCGCTTGCATACGTATATATAAAACAGATATAAAAGAAGACTGGCATTTATTTTTTGACTCTAATATCAAATAAGTATTTAATAATTATATACCTATGATGTTACGGATTCCAATTTTCTCTCTACACTAAATCATACCCAATCAACGGTCGTAACGGAGAGCACTGGGTAATTAGAGATAATTTAGTAGTGCGTGTGGTTAAGCTACAACCACGACGTTTTGGTAGTAAAGAAGGGCAGGCACCGCAACTAATCGTAAACGATTCAATGTAATTAATCATAGTGCAAGTCAGTTTATGCGGTGCCAATGCCGGTGTTATGTGAAAGTCAAATAATAGCAACATGCTTAGCTGTCGGACACAAAAACTGCGAGCACACGCCAGGCGTCTTTAATTAACTTCTGGATATAGAAATATGTATATGCTTGTATATACAGTCAAACCTGGGTAAGCGAGAATTCAAGGGACCCGAATATTATTCTCGCTCATAGAGTTTTCTCATTTATAGAGGTTAATAAAAATCGAACATAAACATGGTGCTAGAGCGTTAAGAAAAAGGTAATACATAAGTATATACTAGGGTCAATTGAAAAGTCCCCGGCCTGACACATAGATGGCGGCACCAGAACTAAATCCATATGATTTTCAGTTAGTCCTAACCTTCAAAAGACGCGTCTATAAATTTGACGGCTGTCGGATCATTAGTTTGTGAATTATAGCATTTTTAGTGAAGCAACTTTTGTTATTGTGAAAAAAATGGATAAAAA